AAACGTCAGCTCAACTCATATGATTGTGGGAAAATTCTACTACCAGTCCTTCATCACCTTAGACGAAATATGCTGAATACATCTTATTATTTCCTCATAAATGAATATGTTTTTGAGACTTTCAGTCATTAGAATATATTAGTTTTCTTCGCCCTATTTCATTTAAGGAGATGGAGGACTGTTAGTTGAATTTCCCACAATGATATGGGTAGAGCTGATGTTTTCAATTGAATTTCACATAACCTTGCCTTCCTAAGACGTGTGCTCATCGAGGGTGGACTGCAGCTTCGGCCTCGAATAGGTCTTATCAACACCCCAAGCGGGAGTCGAACCACGACAGAGCAGTGTGTAAGCACGACACGTTAACCACTACGTCACATTGCCACGAGTGCTCTTGAGTCACAGGAAAGATGTTAATTCGAGGGAATGTCAGACATTTTCCATATTATATTCTGTGCTGGGATTTTCGATGAATTAATGAAGACCAGGATGGCATGTGCTTTGGTATGTACACAGTCTGCTTCCAATGTATAGAAGTTGCTTGACTTTGTTTTCACAACTTGATCGTATTGTCAGGGAGTCCTGTAGGAACGCACCTTGTCTAGAGTCCATAATATGCGTGAGTCAAACTATGGACTTGGTAGATTCGCAAACTTTTCGCCGGCATCGTCAGTGAGCATTGCCAATCTTAGCACTACACTAAAATTCGTCAGAGACGAGAGATGTCAATCGTCTGATAAATTAGTGCGTTAAACTATCTCCAGGGGAGATCAGGCAACAGGAGGATGAGCAAAAAGGCGACGACTGGCTCAAGGAAATATTTCAAAGATGAGGAAGAGAAAGCGCGAAGAGGCCGGAGAGTAAGAGTGAGAAATGAAGACAAGACGTCTTCAGTGATCCTAGTCAGCAGAAGTAGAAGCACAACATTTGGGGGTCGGCATACCAGAAACTTGGGCATGGGGAGTCATAGCTTCAGCGTTGTGAAGAGAAGAGCGAGGGTTGGCTAATAGTAGACGTGTGCGATCATACCTGCAGTCCGTGGGACTGCAGGACCTGAAGGGAGAGGAAGAGGATTTCGCAGCAAAAGGTCAGACTCGGATCAACTTTGCCAAGACCGTGGGGCGCGATGAGGGAAGCAGCGGGGAGTGTGAAGATGTTCCACAGAATCCGCTCCAAAGGGCACACCTGAACTGGGCCTGTGCAAGCAAGTAAGAAAGTGTGAAAGTTAAGAGATGGTACGAGGTGGTAGGTTGGGTGAGCACAGCTGGACAAGAGAGATACCACAACTGCTCAGTTGACAATTGGTTAATAGACCGACTTCACTTGCCACTGAGAAGTTGTAGTCTGCTGCTAAGTAGTGCACAGCTCACTGACGATGTCGATTAAGATACCGGTGAAATGTGTGACAATATTCCAATTCCACGGTCCAACTCTGAAGATTAGCATGCATACTATGGACCTCGGACGAGGTGCGTTCCTCTTGATACTCCTGACAATAGGACCAAGTTTCGAAAACAGTGCCAAACAACTTTTACAATCTCTTTATCCTAACTCGTGTTTATTCAAATGCAATAATCTGTTGACACTTTGGATTGAGGTCGTGTTTTCCTTTGAACAGCCGCTAGTTTAGATAAGATACAACAATGTTGTGGATGATGAGAACTTTTAGTAGCCTATGCTTTATACAAATGAAAACCTAAGCAAATTAATACATTAGTTCTGACGGGGCCTGGTATTTGACTTGGCCACTATAATTTGAAGCAAGGGTCTGCATATGCCGTTGAATTTCCCCTCTCGAACCCGAAACCACTACGCTGTTAACCTTATAATCCTTCTCTCGGACAGAAGGCTTCCAGTGCATTCAGGGTTGAATGGGTTTCCCTTGGCGCATGTGCGATCTAACTTTGTCGATACAACCAATTTTGGCATTTTCAACCTGTTTGGACGCCTGCACTTGCTCCACGGAAGGCAGGTTACTTGGCGCACAGCCGCGTCTAAACCAGCACTGAGTAGCAGCATGCATGGGTTGCTTGACGAAATCGCCTGCTTTGCATTGGATTTATCCTCATATACCCCACTTCAACGAAGATGGCTGCTAAGAAAATAGTCAACTAGGAAGACCTGATAAGTTAGTATGTATGTATATATATGTATATATATATGTATGTATGTATGTATATATATGTATATATATATGTATGTATGTAT